CATATACATTTACATATACATATATATATGTATATATATATATATATATGTATGTATACATATATATATATATATATATACTTATATATATATATATACATATACATATATATATATATACTTTTATTTCTACAACCTCCAGGACTCTTCTTTCTACTGACTGGTCCCTCAATTCGAGTTTACACGTTGGTGACGGAATCTGGGTTGGGGCTCCCAGGGTTAAGGGATGAGGAAACCAAGCTTTGGAGGGGGGGGAAGTTTGCCTTAGGATCAAAACTGTTTGTGGGGGTTTAGTGTTTAGAGGTTTAGGGTTTAGGGTTTATGGGGGTTTAGGGTCTACTTGGAGGTTCATGGGTAGTTACAAGTAGGGTTGTACGTAGGATAACTAGACTTATAAGCTGCATTAGGGGACTTATGACTCCACTTATAACTACCCATGAATGGGGAAGTGAGCTCACTGGTAAGGTCATAATAATTGCTAGCATTGATACCCAAAATGAGGTATTGCCAACCTCAACCTCACCTACACAGTCCCCTGATCCAAAACGTTGGGGTTGAGAGATAAGGGGCTGTGGATCTGGGGTGGTACTAGTAGCTTTTCTCTGTAAAGAGACGACCGTTCAGTGATTTTGACGTTTAGGGCTTGCGGTTGAGGAACGGTGTGGAAATGTGATAGTTTGTGCTCGTTTTCCATTTCTGTAACAAAGATTGTCAGGGTACAAGAGCCACCGCTAGCACGATCTCATCCCGGGCTTCGACATGCAAGATGTCCTGAATACCACTGTCATTAGATGCCAATGGACAGAGAAGATGGGGTCTTATCCCTGCCTGCTGTGAGTTGCCTGGTTCGGGGTGCTCGACCTGCCTTTTAAATCCGTGATCTGACCTTTGGACCCAGTGCTCTGGGCTTCTGTGCTGGGGGCATGTATACTTGGAGGTTCATGGGTACTTCTAAGTGGAGTTATAAGTCCCCTAATATAGGTTATAACTATAGTTACCCTACTTATACCCTGCTTATAACTACCCCTGAACCTTCTCACTGGGTATATTTCACAAGACCCCAAACCCTTGAGCCCTCAACCCTAAGCGATCGTAGAACCCTAAACCCTAAATCCTATCCTCGCTCTATCTCCAGGGGTATACTTAGAAAAAGTAGCTACCTTACTTACTCAGTCTCTGGATCCTCTAAGTAGCCACCCTACCCTCAGCCCTAACCCCTAAAACCTAATCCCTGAACCCTAAACCCTCAACCCCTAAACCCCTAAACCCTCATCCCTAAACCCTCCCCTAAGACCTAAACCCCGGTAGTCACAGGGCCCATGCCTCCGCCACCCGGCTTCGGCGGTCCGCCGATGCCGCCACCTGGCGCTCCACCTCCGCCAGGCTCAAGAATTGCGTTTTTAGGGTTTAGGGGTTTAGGGTTTAGGGTGTATTTTTTGTCACGAAAGCCAGCCTTCGGGCTAGCGGAGTTTCTTATCAACCGAAGGTTGCAACAAGGGGTGTGGGGAAAGGTCCCCCAAAATACTACCAAACGGTGCCGGTTTCCCGAGCTAGACTGCACCTGGAGCTGCATTTTCCCGCCTGACGAGACCCTCTCCTTTTGGGTGTACGACTTCATATATAGTAATCGTATCTCCTGGTAGAGCCATCAAATTAGTTAGGCGAAAATATCCTGCAGACACTATATAGCACTCGTTAAGACCCTTCTGTCAGGTGATGCTGCTTAGGCCCGAAACACTGAAACCCTAAGCTTAAGACTTCAAACCCATTGTTTGGGAGTGTTTTCAACCCCCAACTCCCGTGAAGGAAGAGAGTTTGCAAAAGGATCCGTACTTGGAGGTTCATGGGTAGTTATAAGTAGGGTTATAAGTAGGGTAACTGTAGTTATAACCTAGATTAGGGGACTTACAACTCCACTTAATAACTACCCATGAACCTCCAAGTAGGGTTTAGGCTTTGGGATCCAGAGCTGTTTCCAGCGCCGCATTGCTGGCACCTCCTCGAGGTGCTGAGCAGCGAAGGGATGCCAAGCGACGTGCAGGTGATGCCAGCCGCTCCGGCTGCTGACACACCGCCAAGCTGTCTGGTAGTAGGGAATGGAGGAATGGATTCCTATGATAGTCCCTTAAGGTCCCTTATAGTAGTCCCTATAACCCATTCCCCCATTCCCTACTAAGCACCAGACCGCAAGGGGCGCTGAAGGCCGCGGAGCTCTTTCGTATGACGGCTGGGACGTGGCTGCTCTCCTTTCAGAATGAAAAACAGAATTCGCTACGTTTGCGAATGCGAGCAACTGCTTGCCGCCTGCTCATCGAACAAAGGTGCAAGCACGCGGCTCCTCATCGATGAGGGACGCTTTGTCTTCTGCTTCCGGCTCTACGCCGTGAAACTAATGGCACAGTGATGACAGACCCGGGATGACAACGGAGCACCGCACTATAGAAGCCCTCAACGCCCTTGATGTGAGTTCAACGTTTTCAAGAGGTTGGCATCCAGTGCCTTGTGCGCCATGGGCTCACGGACAAGATCCTGCATTGCCAAGAATAGGGCCATCCAGACCAGAAGTGCCGATCGCTTAAGGCCCTGAGAGTAAAACAGAAGCTGGAGGAGATACTATAGAGGCCTAAGCAATTACCTATACTATCTTGGTGGTGGTTCCTTATTATAATCAAAGTATAGTGGGCCCCAAGACCCTATTCTGATTTATAAGGCCCCTATATTACCAAGATGAGCTATTATTTCAAAGTAACTATATCTATACTTTAAGATACATTGGAGTTATTTGGTGGAGAATCAGGCACGATTCCAATTTCAGCCCTGTCTTCACCAGTTTCGCTGGTAATGTAGGGGCCTAAATAATTACCAATACTATTTGGGGGTTCCTTATTATAATTCTAGTACGATGGCCCCAAAACACTATTGTAATTATTCAGGCCCCCATGTTAAGGCACCTGGATTGCGGTGAAGCTCGCGTGCAAACCCCAACGACCCCCCAGCCTGAAGTGCCAAAGCCCAGCTCACAGATTTGCCCAAGCGATGTCCGCAGTGGGGAAGTTCCTTCGAAACTTGATAATTAACCAGGTGCCCTACTTGGAGGTTCATCGGTAGTTATAAGTGGAGTTATAAGTCCCCCAATGTAGGCTATAACTATAGTTAGCCTACTTATACCTACCAAGGAACCTCCAAGTAACTGGGTTCATGTACGGAGCATTTTATCTAAACTTGCTACTCACACGTCCGTAGGCAGGGCAACACGCGAAGGCATTTTACACGGAAACCATGCGATCCAATAGCTACCATTCCCCCTAAGCCAAAAGCGCAAACCGAAGCCCTAAGCCCCGCACCCTGGAACGATTCGAAGGTCAAAACGAACACGGGAGCGTTATTTGGGGGTTTCCGAAAATAGGGGGTACCTTATTTGGGGGTCCTTATAATATGGTTCTTATTATTTAGGGTATTATATTAGGGTCCCCTATTTTCGGAAACCCCCATTTGCTCCCAAAATCGCCCCGAAAGACGTGCGGCTCATCTTGAGAAGTCGGCCTACCCAGGGACTCCAATATCCCTTAATTAAGGAATATACCTCAAATCATATTAGGGATCCTACTATAATTTAAGGTATATTCCTTAATTAAGGGATATTGGAGTCTGTGGGTACCCGGCGGGTGCGATCGGCAGGGGACTGCGCAAGTAATGCGACTGCACCAAATGTTCACCGCACCTCGCGGCTAGGGTAGCCCGATCCTTTTGCCCTGAACGTAAGAGCCCCATAGTGTTATGAAACCCCTGTTCAAACCGTATGACATGTAAGATCCGTGCAAAGGACGCAATGACAAGCATAGACAATCTTAAGCAATAAGTTCTAAGCCTCCAGCCCTAAGTAGCAAACTTAAAACCCGGTCGAGCCGAAATACAACCGTTGCAGAACCTGTGCAGGAAAGAAGGAGCTATTGTGTCCAACCCTCTATAGTAGGATCTCGCATGCTAGAGGCCAGCATCGAAGAGACTTCGTTTTCTGAAAATCTCAACCCTCCTAAACCCTAATCCCTCAACCCTAAACCCTAAAACCTAGGAAAACCGAAAATACCTGGACCAGGCGCGCCCCCTGTGCCTGCAGAGAAGAAGCGCTCCAGGAGCAGGCGAAGCCAAAGTTGTCTGAAGAAGTGATCCGGATTACGCCTTAGGGGTTTTAGGGGCTTCAGGGTTTAAGGTTTAGGGGTTTTAGGGTTTAGGGGTTTAGGGTTTAGGGGATTAGGGGTGGGCTTTAGGGGTTCAGGGTTTTAGGGCTTAGAGTTTAGGGGTTTTAGCGTTTGGGGGTTTAGGGCTTTGGGTTTAGGGGCTTAGGGCTTAGAGGTTTTAGTGGTGTTAGTTTTAGGGTTTAGGGTTTTACGAGTCGCTCATGTTCTGTTGAGTTTTCGACTGCTTCTTGCGGCTACTTCTTGAACCATGTTTGGGCTTAGAAGTGCTTCGAATGAAACTATGGATCCCTTGTTTAAGGTTTTGTAGGGTATGAAAGGGGCTGGTAAGACATTTTATAGAGAGGTCGAAAGACGTTGTTTAAGGCAAGGGCTGTTTTTTCACCAGGTGTCCCGGACTTATGGGGGCTTACTACGTTCAACTAGATCGGGCCCTACGTCAATTTCAAAGAGCTGGAGCAGCTGCTGCTGCTACGACTACTACGACGACGACTAACGAGTCGCATCACTTTTGTTCTCATGTAAGAACTGGGAACGTGATTGTGATCCTTCTCAGAAAACAGCCATGTTGTTATTCACTTCTCGCCCTGGTTATTGGAAGCAAGTAGCGAGCGGACCGACCGTCGTATTACCTGTGACGGTGGTCGGGCTTACGGAGAGGGACGCTAGAATCACAGGCAGTCCCAACATTCCCAACTTAGCGACCGACTTGCACAATCCCGTGAAGGAGCGTAGCCCGCAGAACATAAACCCTCAAGGCCAAACGCAAACCGGGCTTCCGACAAAGGTAGCTATGTAGAAGCCTCGTGAATGCCCTTGCTTACTATCAGTGACTTCGATCCTCCAGATTGCGAAAGAGCCAAAAAATCAAAATCCTGCGACTGAATCACAAGACTGGTGAACAAACAAGGCCATGTTTCAAGACAAGCAGGAGGATCTGTACATAATATATAGGGACCTTCATAATTAGAATAGGGTTTGGGGGTTCCTTATTCTACTATAATGGTTATAAGGAACTCCCAAAACCGTGTTCTAATTATTGAGGCCCCTATATTAGACAAGCTGACGGTCCCTAAACGTTCGAATACCCTCAACCCCATGTGCTAAACCCCTGCGTGCACAATCGAAACCCTCCAGGAGGAGAGCGCGACGCAAGGCAGCGAACTGTCAGAGCGCTGGCTCTAATACAGGGATTGAGTAATTAGACTGCGTAGCTTCTATAATGTACATATCACAGAGAACCCTACGGGAATAACAGGGGTTGTAGGGTTTCTATGCTCTAATCATATGAGAGTGCTACTACTGTTTGATCAAGCCTATTCATTACCTGCTTGCGGTACGATGTTCGCGTCGTGTTGAGAACTTCAGCCCCAGATAGCGAATTCCCATGCGAAACCCCACCTAGTGTTAGAGGGCTGCGTTGTTGGGAGAGACTCTAGGGACAGCCCCAAACCACCAAGCACCAGACTTGGGTTGCGAGGTTCTGATTTTCAGTTTTAGGCTTTCCCCGCGAGAAAGGGCAGTGGATCGGGTTTGTGGCATAGGCATTTGGGAGCTGAATCGTTCGGGCGAAGACTAATCTACAAATAAGTTATCGAGTTGTTGAAGCACCGCTTATCTCGTAGAGATAGATGAAACGGGCTAATCTTCGAGCAGGACAACAGGAAGGCCCTTCAAATTGCGGATTCCAGACAACGATCTTTGACGAAAGCAGTTCGGCGTCTTGTATCTTCGGTAGGTATCTAGGACCTGCAGCAGAACTTTTCTCCAATCCTATGCACGAAAGCCAGCAGCTCGTTGGAATTTTGCCACAGCTAAGGGAATCCCTGACTTGGAGTTTCGGGTACTTCTAGCTGAACCGAGACTGCACCTATAGCAAGTACCGGCCACCCACTTAGGTAAGACTGGGTAATAAGTAGAGATCTCAGCAACTTACCACCATAAACCCTGATTATCAATCCCATATAGATCTTCCTTAGAACTCGTACTAAGAGCCTTAGAAACCCTTTACTGAGAACCCCCAATCTTTGGGTCCGAGCTGACATGGCGTAAGATTGGCCTTGGCACCTGCGCCTCGAAAGCCTGAAACCCCGCAAAGTGGAGTCTGCGGCTTGAAACGGGTCCACTGGGAGCTACCCGGGTAGTTGTAACTGGAGTTATGAGTCCCTTGATTTTGGTTAGATCAGCTATGTCTATGGTTACCCTACTTATAACTACCCATAACAACAGGGGAACCTTTGTCAGGATTTAAGGTTCCTTCCTTAATCAAGAGGGTTTTGGGGTCCTTGCTTAATCAAGAGGGTTTTGGGGTCTTGGTAGGAGCCTGCACTTTGACAGAAGCCACCAGTGGCCGGCAGGAGAAAGGGCGGCAGAAAGAGGACATCGATCCTGCCTCGACCTGAAAGGAAGAATTAGACAGCTTAGTCACAGGGGTGCGTCTGTTGATGATATAAATCCCGCATTACCTTAAGGGCCCCAAACTATGGGAATTATGATATATCCCTGATTATGGGTGATGCAGGATGTATATCATCAACCGTATATCAGGGTTAGACGAGGTGTGCCACAGACTTACAGAGGGTTTGACAAGTGCTCTGGGTTCCTCAGAGAGCCCACCACCTTGAATTGAATGCGGCTATTCTTGCAATCAAATAAGAACCCCCGCGCTCCTTAGAGTCGTCGCTGAGGGGTATTGAGCTTTTTGGGGGAGATTTTAGGGCGTCGAGGATTCAGGTCAGGTGTTGCAGCTCTGTGCTTTGGGACTGAGCGCGCAGGGCGTCTAGACAAAGTTGATGGATCCAATTCTGAGGTTTCAGGCTTCGGATGCTGGGTGTGGGCATACATATGACGCAGGCAGCACTCAATGGCTTGCAGTGTCTCGGTACTACAGGTTCCAGCTGCTTTCAATTCAGAGCCTAAAGCCATGGGGTCTTCCATGAAAACGGTTGCCTCCAGCCAAACTCCTAGATTTAGGGGTTCTTGTGAACCCATTTATTCGAGCTGAAACGCAGAGATGTTCAAAGGCTCGTGTGTGGCGTTCGCTTGGGCAGGGAGCCAGCAGTCCGGTCAAGTGAGCTATATACCTGCCGCGAAGCAGGTGCAAAATCCAGATAACTAAGAGAGTTGATATGTGGGTTCTATTGGGGAAGGGGGGGCGCCTTCCTACATAGCATGAGTGTGTTCGAACTGGGTGGTCTCGACATTTTGCAACATCTGAGGCAACCCGGAGGTATGATGAGCGCATCATGCGATAAAGTGTGCTTCGTCTTGTGGTGAGGACAGCACCGGTGAGACTACTTCTTATAGTGTATATTTGTGTGTATATGTATATAAAAACTTGTCTAGATAACCAGTTATGCAGACCCCAAGTAAACGAAAACACAATATTGCAGTTACAAGACTACACGTACCCTGAAAGCAAAATACAAAGCAGAGGAACGAAAAGCCCGCAAGCCAATGCCTCGTGTTCGTGCATGGCCTTATGCACACCAAAATTCTAAAATTATCCCATACACCAGACCAGAGCCAGACTATACACAACCGCAGCGAAAACGTCTGCAAGACGACAGGAAGCCCTGTACTCTAAGAACCCTCGTCCCTACCCGCAATCGCAGGGGCACATAGCTCATCGGGAGAGGTTTTTCAAATTCAGACAACAATTGCAATTCTGGTCTGTGTAGGGAGTACCTGGACTGTGGGATAAGATGTCTCCAACACTTAGAGCTTCCAGATGCGATCTTAGAATCACAAAGGCGTGCTGGAACATTCACAGTAAGATGTAGGTGCATATGCTGCCACGGCTGCGTATCTTTCTTCACTTCATGAATTTATACATGGATATGTGTGCGTGGGCATGTGCAAATATTTCCTTTTTGCAGGTGCATATGCAAGTACACATGTGTGCCCAATTCAAAATGTGAACATTGCGGAAAGCTATGCATCCATAACGAATGTCGCTCTACATGTGTTCTTATCCAAGCAACGAGTTTTACATCCATGTGTTGCATCTGCACCATCAGTCACGAGGTCCCCTGCGGTCTCACGGGTCTTCCTTCCAGCCCACTTAGAGGTTCATGGGTTTTTATAAGTAGGGTTATAAGTAGGATAACTATACTTGTAACCTAAATTAGGGGACTTATAACTTCACTTATAACTATAGTATAACCCTACTTGTAACTACCCATGAACCTCCAAGCAACCCAAGCTTCACTTAAGCTCAGGCTAGTGCCATGGCGGAGGCGTCAAATCTGAGCGCGCATGCGTTTCGTATCGTAGTAGCAGGTTTAGGGTTTAGGGGTTTAGGGGTTTGGGGGTTTAGGGGTATCGTAGTAGCAGCTTTAATAGCGGGGAGGGATATTATTTCCGATTACTAGGGGTACCTGGTCCTTATAATAGGGATCCTACTATTTAGGGTACTATATTAGGGTCCCCTATTTTCGGGAACCCGCATATTAAGTAGTCTTGAGCAGAAGGCCGTGTTGACGATTAGTAGTGGGGAGGATGGAGGCTTCATGTGGGAGTTTCCGAAAATAGGGGACCCTAATATAGTACCCTAAATAATAGGATCCTTATTATAAGGACCCCAAAATAAGGTACCCCTAATTTTCGGAAACTCCCATGTACTTACCGAATAACGAAGATTGGAGGCGTTTTTTTGCGGCTGCATGGTTCCAAGCTTTGTTCCAATTTCGGGTTTTCGGGATATGCATTACTGTCTATAGCTCTTGACCTTGCGGTATTCCAAGCTTACCTAGAACTCCCCCTATAATCCCAGAAAATCCCTTTCAAAAGCATCCATTACTCCGCTCTTAAGGAATATGCAAGACGCCCCTTTACGATGACGATCATGTACCTGACGCTGTATCTGTGCATGCAGTATGCAAGACGATCATGTATGTCATGTTAGCATCTTGTTTGCTTGTGGCAAGTACAGTAGATGCCCTTCGTGGCAACGGACCGTCACGAGGAATACTTAACAATGCAAATCCTGCCAACGCATAGCTTCAATTCAGGTCGCAACAGCAACAACCAGCCCCTCAACCCTGAAAACCGCATGAGTAACCAATGCCTTGGCGATGAAGATAAAATCGAAATGATGTCTTGGTTCTCTTACAGGGTTTTACAGAACAGGGCCACGCAAACACTTTCCAAGAACCGTACAAAGGTCCTAGACCCGAAACCAGCGTTGCCAGGTCACCAACGACCCTGAGGTGCAGCGCCTCGTCTACGAGGGCGAAGCGTTGATAAAGGAGGGCAAGGCAGGGTCGCTCTGGGAAGGCATTAGGGTTTATAGGATTTAGAGGGTTTAGGTTTTAAGGTTTAGGTTTTGAGGCTCGGAGTTTAGGGTTTAAGGTTTAGGATTTAAAGTATAGCCTTCTATGGCGGCTCTAACATTGGGTTTTCGGTGGTAAAAGGTTTCTATAACGGCTGTAGATTGGTGCTATCGGTGGAGTGAGGTGCGTGTTTGACGACGACATCGGGAAGCTTGAACAGGCGGTACATCCATCATTGCCGGCTACGGATGGCTGTGAAACTGCCAACCTTCGTAGATGGCCCATTGACGTTCCGCCGGTGAATGCATACTTGGAGGTTCATGGGTAGTTATAAATGGGGTTGTAAGTAGGGTGGCTACAGTTATAACCTATGTTACGGGACATATAACTCCACTTATCACTACCCATGAACCTCCAAGTGTATTTCATGTTTGCAGAAACTCGGCGTTTGGATGCGTGATCAGCAAGGCAGACGCCTGCTCTGTGCTGCTGGTCCAATTCAAGCCGGAGAGCCCGCTGCTGTCCCGCTTGAAGATGCACATGGCAGAACTGGCACTCGCAAGCTACTATAGGGGCCTAACTAATTACCTACACTATTTTGGGGGCTGCTTATTAAAATTATAATATGAAGGACCCCCAACCCCGTTTCGATTATTATGGCCCCTATATTACATGTGTCGCCGGTCATGGTGAAACATTGAGCAAGATCACAGCGCAGCCTCACTCAGGCTGGGAATTGCCTGGCATTGGCAAGCACAGAGCTTAGGCCTTAGAGCATCTTGCCTTAGAAAGGTTCTATAGCTGTTATAGATGGGTGAAAAATGCGTGGAAGGGGTTCTTATATGAATGGCTGAGTTTCTCTGATTTCCAACAGGGGTTTACGGCGGCTACAAGAGTCTACATTGGCTCATATCGTTTGCCTGCACATTTGTATCTTGGTGGCAGTGTCACAAGGCATGTCAACAGGTCTGGCCGAACATGGTGTGGTGGTTGAATCGTGCTTTTGATGTGTAGGGATGCTGGTGAGTCCATCTTTCGGTAGCGCAAGGCTACATCATACCCTAAACCCTAAACCCTAAACCCGAAACCCTAAACCCTAAACCTGATTTCATCACCAGGAATACGCCTTCCATCAACCTCCGGATCTGACTTGGCGCCTAGTATAAGGGCCTAAATGGTTACCCATACTATTTGGGAGGGTTCCTTATTATACTTACAGTATAATATACCCAAAAACCCTAATTTAATCATTAGGCCCCCTAAGACGGAAGCCTGAAGTTCATGTCTCGTGGCTTCTTCATACAGTTATGCTAGATGTACCCCGAAACCCATCCTATTCGGCTCTAGGGGCTGTATGTCAATGTGGGGGATTCCGAAAATAGGGGACCCTAATATAGACCCTAAATAGTAGGATCCTTATTATAAGGACCCCAAACTAAGGTACCCCTTATTTTCGGAAGCTCCCATGTAGAGCTAAACCCTGAACCTGTCAACGGCGGTCCTACGCGGGGTCTGGATACAGTTGATGATATAAATCCTGCATTACCTTAAGGACCCTAAACTATGGGAGTTATGGTAGATTCCTTACTATGGGTAATGCAGGATTTATATCATCAACCGTATCATTGGGTTTCGAGAATCCGGGGTTGAAGGTCCTGAGTTAATGCAAGGCTCTTAACAAGTAGACTACTTGGAGGTTCATGGGTAGTTATAAGTAGGGTTGTTAGTAGTGCAGCAATAGTTGTAACCTATATGAGACTTATAACTCCACTTATAAGTACCCTTGAACCTCCAAGTAGGCCTTGGGAGTAACATATACTTGCCATGTTACGTGTGCTGATAAAAGGAACACGGAGTAATGAGCTTCGTAGTTATCCAGGCTTCTATGTTATGGCTTCCCAATGGCTTCCCAAAGGTTCACGAATCCCTTACGCAGGTTTAGGGTTTAGGGCCAAGTTAGAGCGCTGGGCTGTCGGGGCTCCTCGATTCGGGTAGAAGCATCCAAGGGCCGGCCAGTCACGCCTGTAAGGGCTCTCGAAGACTGCCTTGAAGGTTCATCGGTAGTTATAAGGATCCTTTGAGGGATCTATAAGAGGGTTCTATAAGGGGTCCTACAAGGGGCCTATAAGGGGTCATACTTGGAGGTTCATGGGTAGTTTTCAGTGGAGTTATAAGTCCCCTAATATAGGTTATAAGTATAGTTACCCTACTTATAACCCTATTTGTAACTACCCATGAACCTCCAAGTACTGATCCGGTGAGTATGCTAAAACGTCAGAGTAAGGATCCCTTAGTATAAAAACCTTGATTCAGGGAGCTAGTCAAGGTACGCTATAGTGGGAATCCTGGTTATGAGAAGCTTGAGGAAGGGATAATGGGGTCCTGGTGTGCGTGTGCATGTTTCTAAGGACTTTAGGAGGGACCCCTAATAGGGACCCTTAATCCCATTACCTTAAACAACCATTGTAAAGTCCTTATATACCCCTTATATAGCCAGGTAGTCTCCATATTAACCCTAATAACCTATATGGGTCCCTATTAAGGGTCCCTCCTAAAGCCCTTAGAATGTTTTCTTGTCAGAGACTCTCGGACCCATCTCGTGTGCATGTTTCTTGTCAGAGAGTCTCGGACCCATCTCCAGTCTAAGTCGTTTTCCGTCTACCTGTCCTGTGGGACAGATCTTCGACTTCATAACCAACATTGTTTAAACGAGTCGCCATTTGACGTTTTAACGAGAGCCCACATGTCCACCTTGTGTATTTTCCCGTCGTTTGTGGTTGTGTCTGTGGCGATGATATGCGCACTCTCAGTTTCTCCATCCGAAAAGACCCAAAACGTGGGCTTCTTGGAGCAGGAGCTGTGCCAACAAGGCGACCGAGCTCGTGCCTATGCTCCCGGCTCAGTCGAAGCAAATGCTAGCAGCTCACCATCATGCCGGTAACAGTAATTCTGCCAAAACAAGTTCACATCGGTACCAGTGTGCTGCAATGCCTGGAGGAAGGACCGCAAAGCCAATCAAGCTAAGTACTTGATCATGTGTTTTTACCCGGGAAGTTGTGCGTGTCGAGTGTGCGGAGGCATTGCCGAATGTGTACGTTCGTGGCAATCGTTGTGATTATTTCGAGGGCTCCAAAACAAGGACCTGAAATCCCAAGCCCGTTCAAGCTTGTCGAAGCACTCCTAAACCCTAAACCGACTTAGTCTGCAACCGGTAATTCAGTATACTTTGGGATCCCTCCGAGAAACAGAAGTTCCATTCTGGTTTGTAAGGCCTTGTATTGACAGACTGCAGAAGCCGTAGAAGACACAACGAAAGACATTCCGAAAAAATGCCTTTTCGAAGGCGCTTGCTCCGCAGGATCTCGGTTGATGAAACATATTCTTTATGTTTGTGGAGATTGAACACTGTCGTGATAGCCAGGGGAAGGCATTGCAGATGAACGGTTTGGCTTGGCTGCCGATGCCTGGCGCATGTGAGGCAATGCCGGAGTACACCCAAAAGCACAAGTGGGAAATGGGAGAAGTTGCTCTTTGGGTGCGGTCAAGAAAGAGCCCTTCTATGACGATTTGTCGGGCACAGAAATGAGGTGCCTTCAATGCCAAGCCGAAGGTACCGATCGATGGACGAAATGCGGAACGAAAGAACCGAAAAAAACGCAGAATGTCGCGTCCTTCCAGCACAACGGAAGCAACAATTTTCACCCGAGGCCAGGCGCCCATGAGGCTCGATGATAGACCTCGTTCTATCTCTTATAGGCCCTATGTTACGCTTGCAGTTTTGAGGGAGTCGCAGGCATTGTGCAAAAAGATCCAAAATGAATACTTGGAGGATGAGGGAACTTAGCAAGCAAGGTTGTAAGTAATTTAGTAATTGCGATTGTAGGCAAGTACGTTTATAGCTACCTTACTGATATCACCCTTTTGACAACCCCCCGCCCCCTCCATCGTTGTCAAGACCGGAAGGTATTCATGGAAATTAATACCCCTTAATTAAGGAATATACCTTACATCCTAACATTAAGGCCCCTATAATTTAAGGTATATTCCTTAATTATGGGATAATTGGAGGTATATTCCTTAATTATGGGATAATTTAAGGTATATTCCTTTATGGGATAATTTAAGGTATATTCCTTAGTTAAGGGATAATTTAAGGTATATTCCTTTATGGGATAGTTTAAGGTATATTCCTTAGTTAAGGGATAATTTTAGGTATGTTCCTTAATTGAGGGATATTAGGTTCTCTGGGTAACCAGGCGCGCTTCATCAAGCTCCTGCATGCTACTGACGGTCTAAGCCTCGAGCCCTAAAGCATGGGATCAGGGTTTAGGGCTTAGGGAGTATAAATCCAGCGCATTCTCCCTCAAACCACATGGTCTTGAAACCTCTAAACCCTAAACCCTAAACCTCGTCAGGGTCCGTAGACCCTGATATTATCCCTTGAATTCCTTGTTATTGTTATAATAGAATATCCCCCCAAAGCCCTATTCTTGTCATTCCCCCTAAGGCCCCCACATTCTTGTTATAGTTATAATATAATTTTCCCACCAAAACCCTATTCTAGTTATGCCCCACATTTGACCCCGACCCTCCGAATGCCCGCATGTCCCAAGGACAAGTTCTATGCGGGCCTGCAGTGCCTGTGGCATGTTGGTAAAGGGATCTAGAAGGGCTTCTCTAGGGCTAGCTTCCTTAAAAAAGGATCTATAAGGGCTTCTTTAGGGCTTCCTTTTAATAGGGGCTTCTCTAGGGGTTCCTTCAAAGGGATCCATAAGGGCTTCTCTAGGGGTTCCTTAAAAAGGGATCTATAAGGGAGAACTGAAAGGGTAGTTCTCAAAATTAAGGTCCCTTTCTAGGGTCCCCAATGTAGTACGGCATCCTTATCAACAGCATCCTAAAAAGAGCCAAACTTAGAAAAGCTCCCCTGGTTCTCTCAAGTTTGAAGGAATTCTTTGGCCTTCGGGCTTCTAGGGTTTAGGGTTTAGGGCTTCTTGTTGGAGTCCGGCTTGGGGTTTTTGGGGCTTTGGGGTTTCAACGGTGAATCTGAACATCGAAGCCATAAATACCTGAACCGAACCTAACCCCCCGACATATGACCAAGTCTAATATGGTCTGGTCGTAATACTTCCTTAAACCCCGTCCTTTCTAGTTGAACTGGAGCCTATGATCACCCTTTCCCTTTTCTTAGCGTTGAGACCCTTAAATAAAACAGTTCAAATCCGACCAAACTGGGGTTTAGGGTTTAGGGATTAGGGCTTAGTAGGGTTTGCGGTTTAGGGATTAGGGCTTAGGTGGGTTTAAGGTTTAGGGATTAGGGCTTAGCAGGGTTTGGGGTTTCTTAGTAGGGTTTCGGGTTTAGGGATTAGGGCTAGGTAGGGTTTGGGGTTTAAAAATTAGGGCTTAGTAGGGTTTTGGGTTTGGGCCTACATTAGAAACCTATCCTTAGCGTTTACACAGGACCAGCCGGGTGACCGGATCCACATCATGGAGCCTGCAAAAACAGATTCTACCGTTTGTATATTGGCCTGGACAATTCGAGTAGGGCTTCGTGGTGCTTTTCTAGTATGAACATTAAGGAACTTGTGGGTACATTCCTACTAGTTACTCTTCACTTAGGCATACTGTATGGGATGGGGTGGAGTCCGGATCAAGCTTCATGGTCAGGATGCAGAGTGCAAGCTGTCCGGCGTCAGACAAGGGTTGCTTCTTCGTACAAGACGACGCAGAAGATGACAGGAAAAAAGTTGGCGCACGCCTACCCTCGTTCTCAGGGCGCTCACCACGGACAGCGAAGACGTGGAAGTTCAAGCTTCGAAGGAAGCCCTCGCAGCCGTTGGACCTCCGTGCCTTCATGTCGTTGGCTTTGGTCCAACTGTCCAGGCCGCAAGCAGCGAGGGCTTCCGCTTGGCCACACGTCGTCTCGCCCTCCGCGAGACGTGTGTGTCGATATGTTGGCATGTTCTGTTTTGACACTCTCCTCGGCGCAGAAGGCATTCACTGCTGGTCTAGGATTTTCGGTGAAGGTGTCCATGCGCATGCTTACACTGCAGGCTCCCATGGCATTATTTTAAAGCCCTCACCCCTAAGGCCCTAAACCCCTAAACCCTATGCCCGTAAACCTTAAGCTCACGACTCCGTCGCCAGGTATCTGCTGAAAGTGATGCCTGCTTTGGGCCAGGGCCCCAAAGGGTAACCAGACGATAGTAGGGGCTCAGCGCTTAGTTTATGAGGGGTGTATACGTATATGTATCAGTCGGGTTCTATCTCGTTCTAAGAAGGGTTCTAGAATCGTCTTGAGGGTTTGATCTGGGATTTATCAAGCCGCAAAGCCTAGCGCAGAGAGACCCCTATACCCTTGAGTTGAGAAGGATCCCTCAAACTATCGAGCGTCTCTGAGCGTGTTTGAGGATTATTCCTTGACTTCGATGCAGAAGTAGCAGGCGTCCCCATCATGCTGGATGAAATGAAGCTCTCCACCCAATACACCGTGAACCCCTTACAAAAATCCCAAAACATCTCCTTGAATCCCTATAACGATCCGGCAGCCAAGACTGACCCAAGACCCTACTATACTGCGCCGGTCCGAAAGTTCGTCGCACTCTATGTTGTTCATTTACAACGAACCTATCCACACCCCCTTTCCCCCCTAGACTCCTCCACAAGTCCTCCGCCCTGAACAATTATAA